TGATACATCACATAAACAGATTGAGAGATAAAAATCACATAGTCATATCTATTGATGCAGAAAAAGCATTTGATAAAATCCAACACCCTTTCTTGATAAAAACTCTCAACAAGGTAGGAATAGAAGGATCATACCTCAACATAATAAAAACCATATATGACAAACCCACAGCCAACATCATACTCAATGGGCAAAAACTAAAGCCATTTCCTCTAAGAACAGGAACAGGACAGAGATGCGCACTCTCACGACTCCTGTTCAACATAGCGCTGGAAGTACTAGCCATAGCAATCAGACATGAAGAAAAAATAAAAGGCATCCGAATTGGAAAAGAAGTAAAACTGTCCTTATTCGCAGATGACATGATACTGTACATGGAAAACCCTAAAGACTCCATCAAAAAATTATTAGACTTAATAAATGAATTTGGCAAGATAGCAGGATACAAAATCAATGCCAAGAAATCTATGGCATTTCTATACACCAATAATGAACTTACAGAAAGAGAGACTAAAAAAGCAATCCCATTTACTGGACATCGCACCAAAAAAATTAAGATACTTAGGAATAAACTTAACTAAGGAGGTAAAAGACCTATACTCAGAAAACTACATGACACTGACAAAGGAGATAGAGGAAGATGTAAACAGATGGAAGAACATACCATGTTCATGGATTGGTAGAATCAACTTCATCAAAATGTCCATACTTCCTAATGCAATCTATAGGTTCAATGCACTCCCCATTAAAATACCAATGGCATATTTCACTAACCTAGAAAGAACTCTCCAAAAGTTCATTTGGAACAATAAAAGACCCCGAATAGCCACAGAAATCCTGAGAAAGAAGAGTAAAGTGGGAGGGATTTCAAGCTGTATTACAAAGCCACTGTTCTCAAAACAGCCTGGTACTAGCACAAGAACAGACAGACAGACCAATAGAATAGAACAGAGAATCCAGATATTGACCCAAACCACTATGCTCATTAATATTTGACAAAGGAGGCATGAACATACAATGGAGTCAAGACAGTGTATTCAACAAATGGTGCTGGGAGTTTTGGACAGATACATGCAAAAAATTGAAATAGACCTCCAACTAACACCACACACAAAAATAAACTCAAAGTGGATACAGGACTTAAACATAAGATGGGAAACCATAAAAATACTAGAGGCAAGAAACACAGGCAAGAAAATCTCAGACATATGCCAAAAAAACTTCTTCACTGATACTAATCCTAGGGCAATAGAAGCTAAAAAGAAAATAAACAAATGCAACTACATCATAATAAAAAGCTTTTTTTCACAGCAAAGGAAACCATCAACAAAACAACAAGAAACCCCACTACATGGGAGAACATATTGGTCAACGATATCAAGGATAAGAGTTTAATCTTCAAAATTTACAGAGAACTCATACAACTTAACAAAAAGAAGATAAACAACCCAATCAAAAAATGGGCAACTGAGCTAAATTGACACTTTTCAAAAGAAGACAGAAGGAAGGCCAAGAGACATATGAAAACCTGCTCCAAGTCATTAATCATCAGAGAGATGCAAATCAAAACAACAATGTGGTACCATTGTACACCGGTCAGAATGGCTATCATCAACAAATCAGCAAACGACAAGTGTTGGGGAGGATGTGGAGAAAAAGGAACTCTTTTACACTGCTGGTGGGAATGCAGACTGGTGCAGCCACTGTGGAGAACAGTATGGAGTTTCCTTTAAAAACTAAAAATGGAATTCCCATTTGACCCAATGATTCCACTTCTAGGAATATATCCTAAGAAACTAGAAACACGAATCAGAAAGGATATATGCACTCCTATGTTCATAGCAGCTCAATTCAACATAGCTAAGATCTGGAAACAGCCTAAATGCCCATCAGCAGATGAGTGGATTAAAAAACAATTGTACATCTACTCAATGGAATACTATGCTGCGGTAAAAAAGAAAGAGTTCCTACCATTTGCAACAACATAGATGGAGATGGAGAGCATTATGCTAAGTGAAATAAGCCAGGCAGAGAAAGATAAACATCACTTGATCTCACCCATTTATGGAATATAATGAACGGCACAGACTGATAAACACCTTTACTGCCATGCTAGCAGTAATATAACCTGGGGCTATTGGGTAAGTATTTCTGGACTTATGTTCCTAATCCTCCATGGGTGAGAGCCCTTATCTGGGCTGAGCTCCTGCCCAACGTAGTCACTGATGATATCAAACACCTTGGTCATCCAGGAGGACCACGGGTGGGACAAAGAAGTATAATTACATAGGGGTCACCACCCAGTGGCCATTCTGTATGACACAAAATTAAACCACTGATCCTTTGTGTGTAAAAGTAAACAGTGGTTTCTGGTTTGTGAGTACACCAAAGGAAGGGACCATCACTACTTCCTCCTGGGAGAGGTGGAGAAAATGTAACAAATACCTTGTCTATACAAAAAGAAATTGACAGCCAGTTTAAAATGGAATTTCCATGGCCTAGAGCAAAGATTATCCTTACATGATATTATCTACAAGATCATTATAATTTTTCCCAGACTTGGGTTATCCCCATTATATATAATTACCATGGGGTATCAATAAAAATCATTATATATATATATATATATATATATATATATATATATATATATATATAAAATTTGTTGGTGCTTGGAGACAAAGGTAACACATCTCTAGATATTTTAGAATTACAACAGCATATTTTACAATTATCCCAAACAAACTTACAAACCAATCCTTTGAATGTCTGGCAGCAATTTAAAAACAACATGTAAGGACTTCATTCCTTCCATTGTGCAGAGGGCCCACTGGGAAGGCACCTGAGCATTATATATTGGCCGGTCTTGCCCTTTTGGCCAAAAATGACCCTCTTCTCATGATCCAGGTGACCACAACTGTTACTTGACCTTTCAGCTCATGCCAAGGCTGAAGCACCATGGTGGCTGGTACCATGGATCTTTCTCCTTCCCAGTAGGGTGAGCTGGACCCTCTCTAGAGAAGAAACATGGGTTCCCAAAAATATGAGATCAGCGCCTGGGCCTCACCAGCAGGTGAGGGTCCCCAAGGCAGGTGCTGGGCGTGGAGCCCATGGGGGCATAGGCTACCAAGGAGACAGACCAAAACTCACATCACCCTTCTTGGTCCCAGAGGATGGCTGGTTAGCCAGAGATAGGAAAGATTCCTCAGGGAAGGAACAACCTAAGACAGGCACAGTCGCAGATGGGCCATTGGGAAAGAACTTGGGGGTCAACAGAAGTGGGCACAGACACTTACCAACCCCCCCCCCCGCAACGTGGCAGTTGCCTGAACCTTCTCCCATTCTGAGGGAGGTCTCCTGCCCCCATGGCTGCTTTGCTTCCCAGGGAACCAGGTAACAGACAGAGACTTGGCTGACAGCAGCTGCCCTCTCACTGCAACAAGACTTGTTTGAGTGGTCTGGTACCCATGGTATGGAAAAGAGGGTTTTTAATATATAGATCCAGCCTAGTACCAGGAATACTCATGCCCTTCTCAAGAAGGCAAATAATCAATTCCACTAATACACATAGGGTAAATAAGTGTTGCTAGAGTGTTGAGTTTGACAGTTGAATACTAGCCAATTTCTCAGAGGAAAATAATGTGGGTAATGGAAATAAATGAATATTCTAGAAAAACTGATTGTACTGTACAAAAAAACTGTTCCTAATGTGTTAACAAAAATTCTTATTGGCAGAGCATTTCATGGTAAAATTGAGTAACATTAATGAACTTAAAGCAGTCATAGTTTATCCCAAATAATTAAAATGTAAAAGCTATCAAGACTACATTATAAAATTTCCAAAAGTCTCCTATTATTTAAATTAAAAAAAGGGGGTGACAGTGGAAGAATATCATGTAAGGAAAACTATCCTGCAAATAATTTACATCTAAAAAATTTGTACTTTAGAAAATTAACCTTCATTGGAAATGCTAACAGAAAGATACCCATGAAAATACACACATAGTGTCAAAACAAGCCATTGGGGGGTGGGGGGGGAGGGAGAAAAAGGATCCCAAGTCAAATTTATAGAAAATATCCCTTTATTAACTTTTAGTCGAGAATATGTTTGTATATTTTCAGAAAACAACTCTGAGACCATCTGGAATCCTGTAACAGAGAGGAATAGAAGTGCTCCAGCCATGAAGACAGAAGAGACACAATTAAGAGGTGGAAGTTGCTGATGACACCTCAGCATACCAGCAGACAGCAGATGTGTGTTGCTGAAGGATGCCCAGGACCAAACCAGAGACGGTCAGACCTGCATCACCACCATTTGTCCACCAACCAGATCAGATATATCATGGCTAACATGTACACATAAGGAACTGTTTGACATTGGAATTGGGACTCAAAAGAACTGTTGGCCCAGAAAGGAACTCACTGCAGACTGATTCATTTGCCTCTCAGTGTAACCATTATGGCTTGTCGCAGTTTCGGTTCTTACAAGGGTATTTCTTAGATCACAAGATCTCACACATCTAGAGGAAATGATGAACAACATAGACTGATGAACAAAAACAGATTCAGAGAAAGAGAAGCACCGAACAGACTTTCAAACCTCAGAGGGAAAGTAGGGGAGGGTGGGGGTAAAGGGGAAGAGATCAACCAAAGGACTTGTGTGCATGAATATGGGTCTGGCAAGTGGCCATGGACAAGGGGTGGTGGGGTGGTGTGAGGGCATATGTAGGGAGGTGTTTGGGATGGGATTGGGGGGATTAGGACAATTATGTGATACCACAATCAATCAATCAATCAATCAATCAATCAATAAATAAAGTAATGGGAAACTTAAAAAAAATAATGGTTAATTTGAAAAGCAAAGCTATATATTCTGGCATAATGTTCCTGGTTCTAGCTCCAGTGTCTTTCCTCTCACGACACTGTGTGACAGTCCCCAGCTACCAGCACTGTTCTCAGCTGAGAGCTTTTCTTTACGGCTGCGGTGGGGCAGGACTCACGGAAATCATGGCTTCTGGCTGGATTCTGTACTCCTCTGGAAAGGGGGGCAGCTCCGCTTCGTACTCTAAAGGAGGGCAGGCAAACCATCAGTTCCACACCAACTGCAGTCTGTGAGGTAGTTTTCTCTAAGTAAAAATTCTTAAGTTCTATCTTGGTTGGGGGTTTACAGAAATGAAAAATAACTGGCCATTACAACTTAATAATTAATGTGTATTTCCTTATTTAAAATGAATAATTATTCACTTGTGTGAAGAGTCCAGGCTTTATGTAAAGAGTTTAAGACTTTTCCTCAGAATACGACTTTAAATTTTGACCCAAACTATGATAACTACAAGAGAATGAGGAGGATCCTAGAAGAATATAACATCCAGGGAGGAAAGAAGAGAGAAAAAGAGGAGAAGGTGAGGAGGGCAGAAGCAGCAGCAGAGGGAAGACTCCTGTCTGGAGCACAGGACTGGAAAAGCCAGCCCATAGGCCTCACTACTCAGAGCATGGCCACACCCAGCAGACCAGCATCCCTGGGAGCTAGGAATCCGAATCTCAAGTCCGCCCCAGGCCTGCTGGACTGAACCAGCATCTCATAAGACAGGGGCTTGCATTGCACCCAACACTGGAGAAGTCCTCTGTAAGCGCAGAACCACCTGGGAGCTTTTTGAAACTGCTGTTTTGGCCCAACCCCAGAAATTCTAATTCAATACTAGGAGGTCTGGGGTGAGAGCCTGGGAACCAGTGCTTTTAAAGTTCTCCAGGTGGTTCTTATACGCAGTGAGGTGGAGTACCATTGCCAGGTTTAAGGCTGATCACAGCCCACCTGTTGGAGAGTTTCATGCACAGAACATTCCACACATGCTCTGCAGAGAAGACTGCTGCTGGGAGAGGGCAGAAAATGCCTGCGGCCATAGCAGTTCCACCTGCCAGGAAAGACTGATACATGTATTTCTGGAAAGGTCAATGTTTTAAAGGTAATTGTAGAGTTGCTTTGCATTGATGAGAGAAAAAAAGGTTCCTGGGCAAGAGGATATTAATGGAATATAGTTGTCCTGGATACAAGTTTTATTTAATTATCTAGTTCCTTAACAGACAGTAGAGCATTTCTAAGCAAAAACACTTTTTTTTTTTTTAATTACTAGGTATCAGGTTAAAGACAAGTATACCAGGTGGCAGGTGACAAGCAATTTTGATTCTCAAAATAATGAATTATCACAAACTTACTTAAAACAACACAGATTTATTATCTCAGTTCCTGTGGGTCAGAGTCTGGGTGTGGGTCTCATGAGGCTGACACCAAGGCGTGGGCCATGGCTGTGACCGCATCCGAGGGCTGGGGTCCTCTGCGAGCTCGAGGGTTGTTGGCAGGACCCAGTGTCTGTAGGTCTGGGTCCCCATCTCCTTTCTGGGAAAGGCTGCTCTCAGGGCCTTGTCACAGGGCAGATCACATGGTCATTTGCTCATTGAAGGCAAGCACAAGTGTCTTCTGCTTCAATCTCTCTGACTTCTTGAGGTGCTCACCTGATTAGGTCAGGTCCACCTATAATGATCTCTCTCATTTAAAGTGAACTGATTACCGACATAATTAGTTCAGAAAAGTCTCTAGACAGCAATGTCTAGGTTAGTGATTGATCAGTAATTGGGAGGTAAGTGCACTAGGGGAATCTTGGGGGCTGGGCCACTGAGAATTCTGCCCATCACAATAGTTCTAGCTCTACCACTTTTTTCCTCTCTCAAGCATGCAGATTCACCCTTCTTTCCCCAACCTTTTGAGAATCACCAAAATAATGCAAAAGCTATTTATCTGAACTTAAGAAATATACAGCTCTATTCCTTTACCTGATTGCCAGAGCTTATTGTGAGAAAATTCCAAATAATACAGAGATGTCATGTAGAGAGTATAAATCACACATAATGTCTTTACAACCAACAGCCAGTTAGATTTGGCATAGGTCCAACTTAATCTTTTCAATGCACTTACTAATATACATACATATGAAGTATATACATTTATTTACTTTAGATCTAAACTAGGTCAAATTATCCAAGTTTAGAACCTTGTAACAATGTCCTTTTTCTTAAAAACTCATACTACTTTTACCTTTTTTGGAATTTGTAAAAATTAATCTAATAGACTGTGTGTTTTGTGACTGAATTACCGGGATCTGTGTGCTCACCATCATATTCCCACAGAATACTTGCTGAATGAATGAAGCAATGAATGAATAAATCAACCAAACAGTATGGCAAATTACTTTTGACCCTTGATCTACTGATTCATTCCTTGATATTTACTGAGAGCCCACTATGTTGAATCTTTCAAGGCTGCTACAAGTATTATGTACCACATTTATTCAGCCAATGTACTCTTTTGTTGTTGTTAATCCTCACCTAAGGATATTTTTTCCAGATATTTTAGAGAAGAGTGGGGGAGTATAGAGAGAAAGAAGCATGGATTGATTGCCTCCTGCATCACCCTTCCCCTGGGATCTAACCTGTAATCCAGGCACAGTTCGTGTCTTTGACCAGGAATTGGGGCTGAGACCCTTCTTTGTGCTGGCTGATACTTTAACCAATGGGTAACATCGCCAGGGCAGGGAATTTACTTTTTAAATATATGTTTCCTAACAGAATGTAATACAACCTCGAAGATAGGATTTCCCTCCAATCCTATTTCTCATGTTGTGAGAAACTGAATTTACTATGTTTGTTATAGGGAACTGCATTTGTTAGAATATTTTAAGAAATTGGGCTTATTCCTCTAAGTTACAATAGTCATTAGTGTGCCAGTGTGTACAATTCACCATCTTAATGCTGTAACCTTATCAAGTCCCTTGCTTTTCGGAGAGCACCCTTCCTGTTTGCTTTCTCCCTACAGGCCTGTTTTACTAAAATAAACCTCACGATTCTGAAACACAATGCAAACCATGTTTCTTTGCCAACAATAACACGTAAGTATGAGTACTTCTAAAACGCCAGAAATGCTGCTGAGCTCCTTTGCACACACCACCTTAACCCTCACAGCGGGTAGGTACAGGATGACTCCGCTCTCAGAGGGACGCTAAGCAGCTTCTCTAACCAACACCACTGGCAAATTGTCTGATGAACAGCTATTTGGCTTGGAAAACTGAAAGCTCTGGGAAAAAGACAGCCACAATAACAACGTTCAAATATCTGACTGGATTCTTTTTTTTAAAAATTTGAATGTTATCTCTTCTAGCTTTGATTTTTAAATATATTTCATTGGTTTTTTTCAGAGAGGAAGGAAGAGGGAGAGTTAGAAACATCGATGAGAGAGAAACATCGATCAGCCGCCTCCTGCACACCCCCACTGGGGATGTACCCGCAACCAAGGTACATGCCCTTGACTGGAATTGAACCTAGGACCCTTGAATCCTCTATCTACTGAGCCACACTGGTTTCGGCTCTGACTGGATTCCTTAGGGTAGAGTGACGGTCTGATCAATGTTTCTGTCTCTCCATCTGTTTTTGTTCATCAGTTTATGTTGTTCATTATATTCCACAAATGAGTGAGATCATGTGATATTTATCTTTCTCTGACTGGCTTATTTTGCTTAGCATAATACTCTCCAGTTCTATCCATGCTGTTGCGAATGGTAAGAATTCCTCTTCCTCCCTCCCTCCCTCCCTCCCTCCCTCCCTCCCTCCCTCCCTCCCTCCCTCCCTCCCTCCCTCCCTCCCTCCCTCCCTCCCTCCCTCCCTCCCTCCCTCCCTCCCTCCCTCCCTCCCTCCCTCCCTCCCTCCCTCCCTCCCTCCCTCCCTCCCTCTTTCTTTCTTTCTTTCTTTCTTTCTTTCTTTCTTTCTTTCTTTCTTTCTTTCTTTCTTTCTTTCTTTCTTTCTTTCTTTCTTTCTTTCTTTCTTTCTTTCTTTCTTTCTTTCTTTCTTTCTTTCTTTCTTTCTTTCTTTCTTTCTTTCTTTCTTTCTTTCTTTCTTTCTTTCTTCTTTCTTTTTCCCTGAAACCTGTTTGGCTCAGTAGATAGTGTCGGCCTGCAAACTGAAGGGTCCCAGGTTCGATTCTGGTCAAGGGCATGTACCTTGATTGTGGGCACATCCCCAGTGGGGGGTGTGCAAGAGGCAGCTGATCGATGATCGATGTTTCTAACTCTCTATCCCTCTCTCTTTCTCTCTGTAAAAAATCCGTAATATATATATATATATATATATATATATGAATAATTCCTTCTTTTTTATAGCAGTGTAGTATTCCATTGTGTAGATGTACCATAGTTTTCTAATCTGCTGATGTGCCTTTGGGCTGTTTCCAAATCTTAGCTGTTGCAAATTGTCCTGCTATGAACATAGGGGTGCATATGTCCTTTCTGATTGGTGTTTCTAGTTTCTTGGGATATATTCCTAGAAGCGGGATCACTGGGTCAAATGGGAGTTCCATTAAAAACACACACACATTACTTCTTAAGAGCTAACATTATTGAGCTTTGCTACCAATCGGTCAGTTTTCTAAGCACTTTCTGTGACTGTTTAGGTGCATCCCCCTAACACCATAAAATGGGTACCATTTTACACTCACTTTAGCGAGAGAGTAACGTTAAATAACTTGCCCAAGGTACAAGGAGTATTCTGTATGGGGCCTCAGGATCGGGGGATGTGTGAGGGCCAGAGAAGGTGAGAGCCCACTGGGAAGGTGAGAAGTGCAGAGGGATTAATCCTGAGAGTGGCAGGCCCACGCCCCAACGTGTGGGCCACAAATACCAGCATCCAAGCTCTCCGGCTACTGGAAAGGCAGGCTCCTGGGCCCCATCAGGAACTCGGCTGCGGATAAAGTCTGAGCTCCTCCTTTCTTTTCCCTGAAGGTTCGAACCCAGGTTCACAGCACCTGGCGGTTTTACACTGCTCCCCTCCGCCAAACGGACCGGAGGTGGCGCCGCACACTCACAAGCAGACCTCCAGGCCTGGGCCCGCGCTAAACCCCGGCCGCTTCAATCACCCCGGTGGGCGCCAGCACGGTGGGCGCCAGCACGGTGGCCCCGCCCCTGGGCCCGCCCCCGCCCCTTGGCCCCGCCCCTGGCCCCGCCCCGCGGCGCCGCCCACCTTCGCAGATCCGCTCCCACAGGGACCTGCCCGGCTGCTCCGTGGCCTTTCCCGGCTCCGCGGGCCGCTCGAAGGGCGCGGGACACGCGGTGGGAACGGGCTCCGAGGAGTCGGCCCGCTCCTCAAGCTGTGCGGAGCGGCTGCCCACCCTCCCGGGCGCCGCCATGGTCGCGGTTTCCACGGCAACCGCACTCCCCGCCCGGCCACGACCCGGAAGAAGCTGGAACACGTGGGCGAGGGGCCGGCCTCTCAGGTCGGTTTCCGGGTCACGGCGGAGCGGGCTGTATGGCGGCGGAGCGGGGCGGCCCGCAGGTGAGGCCGCGGCCGGGCGGCGGGGACCCTGGGGCGCGGGCCTCTCGTGGCGAACAGGGCACAGCGGGCGCCCGCCCGCCCTCCGTGGAGCCGGCCTGTCCGCGGAGGCGCGGCGCGGCGGGCCGGGGGCTTCCCGCTCGGACCCAGCCCGGCCTCCTGCCAGCCGCGGTTCGCCCGTAGCCGGTTGGGACCCAGGGAAGTGAGTTCGGGTTTGCCAGCCCGAGCCACCGCGTTCGCAGGAGGCCGCAGCGAGGCGCTTTGCTGGTCCATGAAGGAGCGAGTGCTTGGCGGCCGCGGGGTGGGAGAGGGGTCCGCAGTGGGGAGGGGGGACTGGGTTGAGGACGATCTCCCCGCGCCCTTTGTTTCTATTGGCCTTGGCCACTCCGCCGCCGCCGCGCTCCGGGCCCTCACTCCTCCTCTGCAGTCCGCACCCTCTCCCTTTCCTTTGCCAGCAACTCCTCCCCTGCGGCCCCCTCCCTAAATGTCCTTATCCCCTAAGGTTCTGTTTCAGACTTTCTGTTCAGCACTTAAATATTATCCCTACTGGAGGCCGGTGCACGGAATTCGTGGGTGGGGGTTAGGGTGTCCCTCAGCCTGGCCTGCACCCTCTCCAATCTGGGACCCCTCGTGGGATAACCAGCAGTCGGACATTCCTCTCACATTCCAGAACTGCTGGCTCCTAACCGCTCCCCTGACTGCTTGATCGCTCCTAACTGCTGCCTGCTTGCTTGGTCTCTAACTGGTCCCCTGCTGCCTTGATTTCCCCAAACCACCTCTGTCTCAGCCCCACACCCGGCACCCAGGATTCCCTCCTCCAGCCAACCACAGGCACCCGGGATCCGTGCTTTCCTCCCTCTGGTCAGCCATAGGTGCCCAGGCTGTGCTGCAACCACAAGTGCTGGCACCTGGGATCGCAGGGTGGGCAGCTTCTCCATCTCCCAGGCCACAGCCAGCCGCAGGTGCTTGTGCCGGGACTTCAGGGTGGGTGGCCTCTCCATCTACCAGGCTGGAGCCAGCTGTAGGTGTGGCGCCTGGACCTCAGATGGGCAGCTTCTCCATCTTCCCTCGGATGCAGTGGGGGCAACTTCTCCAGGGCAGGCGGCTTCTTCATCTCCTGGGCTGCAGCCAGCCTCAGGCGATGGCATCCGGTTTCTTGTCTCCCCCAGGACGTGGGTGAGCAGTTTCTCCAGCTGGCTGCTGCCTGAGATCATGGGGCAGGCGGCTTCTTGGTCTCCATGGCTGCAGCCAGCCTCAGGCACTGGCACCTGACTTCTCCGACTCCCCCATAGGGCCGGGGCTGCAGCCATGTTTTCGGTTCAGTTTGCATACTCACTCTGATTGGCTGTTGGGCGGAGCGGAGTGAATGTGATTTGCATGTTTTTCTTTTATTAGTGTAGATATTCCAAAACTTATGTGTTGGCCTAGTCAGCCCTCAGCCTCAGCCCCATATATCCACCTGCCCACCCAACATCTCTACTTGGGTATCTCAGAGCATCTGTTCAAACCAGCATGCCTCCATCCCGTCCAGTTCCTTTGACTTGGGGATTAGTGCCAACAACCTGCAGTTACCCAAGCTGGAAAACTGTTCTTCAGAAAGTGTGCCATTCTGGGTTAGAAACCCTGCATTACCCTGTTGCCTGTGTTATTAGAGGTCTGTGCAGGACATTCGTGCACTCAGTGGTCGGGGGTGCTCAGCCTGGCCTGCGCCCTCTGGCAGTGTTGGGGGGAGATATCCAACTGCTGCAGAGGGAGGGAGGAAAGGCTCCCCCCAGCATGCTCATCAGTCTTGAGCCTGGTTCCAGGCTTCTGGCTTATCGGGGCTCTCCTGTGGGAGCGCACTGACCACCAGGGGGAGCTCCTGCACTGAGCATCTGTCCCCTAGTGGTCAATGTGCATCATTGCCAGCGATGGTTCAGCCATTTAGTCAGTTTGCATATTAGCCTTTTATTCTATAAGATTACACCCCTTTTCCTCCCCCACCTACTTGATTGTAGTTGGCAGTGTTTCATCTTGTTCGCCTTTGTATCTTCAATGTACATCCCTCATTCAGTGAGTACTGTGAACACTTGTTACTTGCCAGGCACAGAGTTAGGCTCTGGGCGTAGAGACAAGCCTGGTTCTATTGTGCTTTGCTTCATTGCACTTCGCAGGGGTTGTGTTTTTACAAATTAAAGGCCACCCTCCTCCAGCAAAGGGTTGCTGCTTGCTTTATGGTGCTACTCACTTTATTACTGTGCTCCAGAACCAAATCTGCCAGCAGAGAGCAAGACGGGAGTGAATGAGTGGGTGTGGCCTGGAGCCATATAAACACACTTGAGCTGTACCTCAGGCCTGGCAGGTCCAGTATGAGGCCCGGGGCTCTGATGCCGGAGAGCTGCAAGCTGAGAAGTTCCTGGCCTTGCCCTCCCACTGTGTAAAGCTGCCAGGAGGGCACGCTGCTTCTGGCCTCTGTGTTCTCCAGGCAGCAGCAGGAAATGGGTGCTGACTAGAGTGAGAGAAATAGCCCAGCTAGAAGTGGAAATGTGCTGAGGGCTCCAGCCCCTTCTCACAGGCACCTCCTTGACATCCCCCCTGCCTCCTCCTCCCAAGGTGCTATGTGTCACCTTCAGTCATTAAATAAGAGAAATTTATTTGAAAGTTAACAAGCTTGCAGGCTGGATGCCCTCATTCTCCCTCCCCGACCACCACGATTTAGTTCAACCTCTCTCTCTTTTTTAAAAAATATATATATTTTATTGACTTTTTACAGAGAGGAGGGAGAAGGAGAGGAGAGTTAGAAATATTGATCAGCTGCCTTTTGTACTCCTCCCCCCCCCCCCCCCCCCACTGGGGATGTGCCCGCAACCAAGATACATGCCCTTTACCAGAATTGAACCCAGGACCCTTCAGTCCTCAGGCCGATGCTCTATCCACTGAGCCAAACCAGTTTCGGCTCAACCTCTCTTTTATGGATGAGGAAACTGAGGCCTGAAGAAGTAAATGGCTATGAGACAAGACTATCAGAGTCACCACTTGAGCACAGGTATTTTCAGCTCTAACTGGAGTTCTCACCGTACCTTACTGCTGCTCTTATTACGAGTCACGGGGAAGTAAAAGGGATAATAAATCAACCAGAGTGCAGGTTGGGGGACTTAGTTTCCAGACACAAAGTGGAAGAGCTGTTAGATGAACCAAGTTAACAGGTTAGTTTTGCTACAGTCACTGTCTGCGGTAGGAATGGGCAAGAAGGGCTGGTCTCGGGGTTTTTATACCACACTCTTCGCCAGAAAAAGGGAGCCCTTGCCCTGATTTTTCTGGTTTGATTGCAGTTATACCCTCTATGACAGGCACAGGGTGGGGCAGTTGGTAAATTTCTGTTGAATCACTATGCTTAAAGACTTGAGGAGAAGGAGGTTAAGCGAAAAGAGTCAACAAGGTAGCAAGCACTTTCCATGGGTTATTTTCTTTATTCTTTGAGAGGTATTTCCCCCATTCTCCAGATGGGGAATTAAAGTTCAGGTAGAATAGGTGAGTGACTTTAAGCAAGGGAGCGATTTGGATTTGAGCCTGGGGTTGAGTGGATTTTAGCACCATTCTATTTCTTTGGTCATATTTGTCCTGGATCTACAGGAATCATGCCCATTTTCCGATTCCCTACCATTTCAGACCATCCACGCAAAGAAACATGACTTTTGGCAATACCTAGTTGGACTGTCCACAGGCTGGCCTGGTGTAGGGATGACTTACACCTTTTTTTCCTTTTTCAGGAATGATCACCAAGAACCACAAAGGAGACCTGGGCCTTTGGCTTCCAGAAAAAAAGAAGAAGAAGGTAGAACCAGAGACTCAGTACTTGTTTTTGAGCGGTAACAATTATTACACTGAGGTCTGTCCCACCACAGCCATGTCATCCACGAAGAATGTGATCCAAGGGCGGGCACGCGAGACCCCTCTAGTGAAGAAAAAGAAGAAGAAAAAGAAGGAGCACAGCACCGTCTGTGAGGAGCACCTAGAACCTGAGACCACATTCCGTGCCAGGCAGACAGAGAAGTCTCCCAGCCCCAGGACACAGGCTCTTGGTCCATCCGAGTTCCTCAATGGGGAGAAGAAAAAGAAGAGGAAGTCCTCATGGCCTCTGGCCCTGTCCCCTGGTGTGAGGGAGAAGACCTCCCTGGACCCCAGACAGGTCGAGGAAGTGACCGGAGTTGGCAGGAAGCTCAAAAAACACAGGGAGAAAAAGGCCCTGGAGGCAGCAGCCTTCTTAGTCGGGGACCCTTGGGTCTCTGAGGCTCGGGACACCCTGCACATGTGCTCAGTGGGAAAGGATGACCAGGAACAGGCAGCCTTGGTGCAGAAAAGGCAGCAGGGGGTGCCCAGGGAACACGTGAACAAGAAGAAGAAAAAGAAAACCCACCAGGAGGAAGACGCCCCCCTTGGCCATCCCAAGCCCGCCGGGTCCACGGAGAGCAGCCTTAGGAAAAGATGTGCGAAGAAGCCAGTCAAAGGTGAGGCTTCAGAATATATCTCCGAAGGAGACAGCCTCAAGGCCCCTGCGAGGAAGAAAACGAAGCCCACTAAAAAGGCTGAGACGCCAGGCACTGAGGAGCCAGCTCTGAAGAGGAAGAAGAAGAAGAAGAAGGACAAAGTAGCAGAACTTTGGAAGGAGGTAGGTTGTCCATCAGGGTGGAAATTGGGAGTGTGTGTGTGACACTCAACTTCTTAGTGTCAGAACCTTGTTTAAACGGACTTAAGGCAGAAGAAGGATTTATTGACATGTGTAACTGATTTCCCGAGAGGTGAGGCTCAGTTAATACTGACTGAAGGATGAACCCTAGGAGCTGGGTCAGCAGGAAGGTGTCTGTAGGGCCTGTGCTCAGCTCTGCCAAATGCAGTTGGAAAGGGTGATGATTGTCGTTACGGAAGGACCAGGGGAAAGGGGTCTCACTGTTGGAGTCCCTCAGAGGCTGAGCCTGTGAGCACAGCCATGTCAGAGTCAGCCAGCGAGGATGGCCCCTGGCTGAGGTCATGAGGGTTTCGGCCTTCCGTGCAGCTGCAGCAGCAAGTGCAGAGGGCCTGGCTGAGCACAGAGACTGGGGTGGCGGGGGCTTGGTGACAGCAAATAAGATGGGGGCCATAGGAGTCTTGAGGAGTGGTGACATGACCTGACAGGTTTTTTTGTTTTTCATTTTTTATTAAGGTATTATATGTGAACATAGAATTTCCCCCCCTCTCATACATGCCCTCCCTCCCCAGAGTTTTGTCCATTGGTTATGCTTATATGCATATAAGTCCTTCAGTTGATCTCTTATCTCCCCCAGATCTCCCTACCCTCCCCGCTGTAATTTGACAGTCTGTTTGTTGCTTTACTGTCTCTGTATCTATCTTTTTGTTCTTCAGTTTATAATGTTCCTTATTATCCAAAATGAGTGAGGTCATGTGGTGTTTCTCTTTCATTGACTGGCTTATTTCACTCAGCATGATGTTCTCCAATTCCATCCAGGTGGCTACAAATGATAAGAATTCCTTCTTTTTTATGGCAGCATAGTATTCCATTGTGTGGATGTACCATAGTTTTTTGATCCAATCATCTGCTGACGGGCACCTAGGCTGTTTCCAAATCTTAGCTATTGTAAATTGTGCTGCTATGAACATAGGGCTGCATATATCCTTTCTGATTGGTGTTTCTAGTTTCTTGGGATATATTCCTAGGAGTGGGATTACTGGGTCAAATGGGAGTTCCATTTTCAGTTTTTTGAGGAAACTCCACACTGTTCTCCACAGTGGTTGCAGCAGTCTGCATTCCCACAAGCAGTGCACGAGGATTCCTTTTTCTCTGCATCTTCGCCAGCACTTGTCGTTTGTTGATTTGTTGATGTTGGCCATTCTGACAGGTGTGAGGTGGTACTGCATTGTCATTTTGATTTGCATCTCTGACAGGTTTTTTTAAAGAAGATATAGTTGACGTAAAGTTGTATATGTTTAAGCATACAGCATACTCTGATTGAATTTTTAAAGCTCACCTGAATTGCTTGTGGGATGGACCAAGGTTGGGGGTGGGAAAGCAGGAGTTAGACACTCATGGTTTTCTAGGCAGGTAAGAAGGCAGCAGCCAGGACCTGTGGGTGGGGGTAGGTGGTATGGAGGAGAATTGAGTAAGCTTGAGCCCTACTCCCCACACCCATCAGGACCTTGAGCCCACCTCTGCATTTCCTGGCTCTTGCTATCTGCTCCCTCTCCACCACCGCCCATCCCCCACTATAGATGGGGCCTTTGGCCTCTCACTGGTTTGGTGTCACCCACTGAGGTCAGTTGACTTGTAGCAGGAAAGGTCATGCACCTAGCCTGAGTCAAGAGACCTAACTTAGGGTCAGTCCTGCCCCTGATCTGTGGGGTGACCTCGTGATAGTCACTCCACTGCTCTGAACCTTAGTTTTTCCATCTGTCAAATAGGTCAGTGCCATGGTTCTGAGGGGAGAGTCATGGGAGAGAAGGATGTCAGATATTCTGCAGGTGGTGGGGCTCGGGTGGTGCTGGGGCAGAGGCCGGCAGAGACGTGACTCCCACTCCGCTTGCTCTCCTGTGCAGGAGCCTGACACAGACTTAGAGGTGGTGCTGGAGAAGAAAGGCAACGTGGACGAGGCGCACATAGACCAGGTACGCCCAGCCTCACCCCTATCAGGCCACAAGGTCCTGATCTCGGAAGCACCCACGGCTCCAAAGGCTGTCAGGCCGGCTCCTGTGGTCCCCCTCCATACAGGGAGCTCTGCCTTTGCCATGTCATGGTGGGAGACCCTCTCTGCCAGCCTGGCTGCAGGCCAGTTGGTGACTTGGAACCTCATGATGAGGCTCTCCTCCCTCCTCCCTTTGCCCACTGCAGGGGGAGAACCTAAAACCAGGGCTGGGAACAGGGCAAGCATCCTTGAGAAGCATCCTTTGGTCTTCACTTATATGAGGAGTCAGTGAGGTGAGAGAGTGCCCCAAGTCACCTCATTAGTAATGGTCCAAGGCTGAGTCTATGTGGTTACTTTGCTGTACTGCCAGGGTTGTGAAATACCCCAATTCCAGGAAGTCCAGCTCTCACTTACTTATCAGGAGATAGGGCATAGACAGAAATGGATATTGGCCCACACCAGAACCACTCTCAGTGCTCCCAGACTGAGGCCAGGAGGTGCATCATGCAAGCTGGTGTACCCAGCTTCTTTATTAAAATACTAGTGGCCCAGTGCACGAAATTCATGCATGGGGTGGGGGAAGAGAGATGGCCTTCAGCCCAGCCTGCACCCTCTCAAATCTGGGACCTCTTGGGAGATGTCCACAAGGATCGGGCCTAAGCCGGCAGTCAGACATCCTTCTCACAATCCAGGACTGCTGGTTCCTAACCACTCACCTGCCATCCTGCTCACCCCCTGCCCTCCCCTCCTGGCCCGATCACCCCTAACTGCCTCTGCCTAGGCCTTGCCACCATGGCTTTGTTTGGAAGGTCTCTTGGTCTAATTAGCATATTACCCTTTTCTTAGTATAGATGGGATATGACATATTGCCATAATTATATCTACCAGTATTACACTATGGGAATACTTACTTCATTTGATAGGAAAGCATCTAATACATTACACTGTATATGTGGTAAGTAGTAGGAAATACTGTATTCGTAGCAATAGGATACATCCTGTGACTTCCCTTCCTGATTTGGGAATGATTCCCCAGTTCTTTGAACGTTTCCTGGCCCCTGATGTATTTGGAAAGAAAATAGCTCTGAGTTTGGAGAAATTAAATTATAATAATGACAATTCAACTGCCTCCTGTACTTCCAGACAGATAACAGGAAAAACACCCCGGGGCCAGCACCTCCTATGGCTGAGCTCCAGGGGGAGGAGTGAGGGTACATGGCCCAGCGCTAGGCGTGTGGCTGGAGGCACCTTGGGTCCATCCTGCCGTCAGCTGGTGACTGGACCCCTCTGCTCCCAGCCCCTCGAGAGCCCCTGTGCCTCCTAACGGGGTCCTGAAGCTGCGCCCTTGATCCTGCTGCCCTCTATTCACCGAGGAGCGGGGTGTGGTGGCACAGGGCGCAGCCGTCCCATTTCCAATAAGATGTTCAACCTGTGCCCGCTCCACCAGTGTCTGCAGGGGGCCCAAGGGCAGACAGCGATCCTGGAGGCACTTGCCGCCCCCGCCCCAGCTCAGCCTCGATGGTCCGGGGTGAGAAGCCCCGCCGGACCCGTGGCTGGACTTGTACCCACTTCTTTAAGCAGGCACCTGGTGCTGGGCGGGCGGCAGGGCGCTCCCCCCAGCTCTCACTGGAGCGGGTCCCTGTGGTTTCAGAACCGAACTCCAAGGGCCTCCCAGGTGGCAGCGGCCCTGAGCCCACCACCTCTCCCTCGATCCCACCAAGGCTTGCTTCTCTCACTTGCCTCCCAGATGCACATCTTCCCCTCCCTACCTCCAACCAGGGCCAGGAATCGAGCCTGCAACTGTTTTTGGCTGGGATTAAACCTGAGACCCTTCAATCCCTGGGCCAATGCTCTATCCACAGAGCCATACTGGCTAGGGTGAAATTGTTCTATTTTTAATTTTCACCAATAACTGTTTGTTTATTTATTGATGGTAGCCATTCTGGCAATTGTGAGGTGATATCTGATGTGGTTTTTGTTGTGGGGTCAAACCCTGGGTTCAAAATAAGACCACCGGAGGCTGATGATTTATTAAAAAAAGCAGGCAAAGATTTATTGAAATTTCTGGCCAGGACAGCCGCAAGAGCACCACACGCAGGCGGACTCCACACGACTGCACCGCTTCAGGGGCAGGTAGTTCTTTTTAAAGGTTCTGAGAAGGAAAACCACTATTTTGCAACAAACTGTTGTTTGGAATTTTCTGCTGTTCTTCCTAGATAAAATGTTGCTTTCTAGTTTGCTTTAGCCCGTTTGAAGAATGATAAAGATAAACTTAGCCGTCTGACCTTGTAGGCCAGAGACCAGATATGCTCACAATCTCAATACCATGCCAGGTGCACCTTCTCAATTGGATAGAACTGGATTGTTTTCAAGGCCAGCATCGAGATAACCACTATTAAAGGGCTGGCTCTTAAATTAAAAAAAGGAAGTTCTGCCTGTAACCTTGCTTAGTATCACACGATGAACAAAGCAAGTAAGTGAAGGTTGAAGTCACAATAGTAGGGTTAAAATTCAAACAGCAGTTTTTACCTAAGTATGATTGCTACCATATTTCAGTTTTAATTTGCATTTCCCTAATGATTGCATTTAATTGCAGTATCACTATGTCCATATGTCCTCTTTGAAGAAGTGTCTATTCAGGTCCTCTGCCCATTATTTTTTAATAAGTTGATTAGGGTGACATTGCTTAATAAAATTATACAGGTTTTAGGTGTACAGTTCCATAACACATCATCTGTGTATTGTGTTGTGTATTCAACATCCCAAGTCAAGTCTCTATGTCACCATTTATTCCATTGCCTCTTCTACTCTCCTGACCTCCTTCTCTCTGGGAAGCACCACACTGTTGTGTGTGTCTATGAGTTAGTTTTTGTTATTTTTATTAATCCCTTCACATTTTTTACCTGGCCCAGTAACCCCTCTCAAAATGAGTGTTTCTATTTTGTTCATCAGTTTATTTTGTTCATTAGATTCCACATATGAGTGATATCATATGGTACTTGTCTTTCTCTGACTGGCTTATTTCTCTCAGCATAATGCTCTCCAGGTCCATCCACTCATTCACAAAGGGTAAAATTTCCTTCTTTCTTATGGTTAAATAATATACATTGTGTAATTATTTCACAACATTTTTATCCTCTCATCTGATGGGCACTTGGGCTGCTTCTAAATTTTGGCTGCCCTTTTTAATAAAAGGGTAATATGCAAATCGACCCTAAAGGTGGAACTACCAGGAATGACTGGTCGCTATGTCATGCACTGACCACCAGGGGGCAAATGCTCAACACAGGAGCTGCCTCTGGTGGTCAGTTCACTTCCACAGGGGAGTGCTGCTCAGCCAGAAGCCAGCTCACTGCTGGCCAGTGCAGCGGGGGTGGCGGGAGCCTCTTCTGCCTCTGCAGCAGCGCTAAGGACGTCTGACTGATGGCCTAGGCCTGCTCCCCGGCTGCCAGAGGGCGTTGGCTGGGCTGACAACCCCCAAGTGCATGGATTTGGGGCACCAGGCCTCTATTGTAAATAACACTGCAGTGAACATAGGGGTCCATATAGTATTTTGAAATAGTGTTTCAGGTTCTTCATATACATTCCCGTAAGTGGAATAGCTGGGTTATAAGGCAGTTTTTAACTTTTTTGAGGTAACTCCATATTGCTTTCCACAGTGGCTGCTCCAATCTGCCTTCCCACCAACAGTGCACTAGGGTTTCCTTTTCTCCACATCCTGGCCAGCACTTGTTGTTTGTTGATTTATTGGTGGTAGCTGTTCTCATTGTAGTTTCAGTTTTCATTTCTCTGATTAAGGACGTTTAGCATCTTTTCATGTGTCTCTTGACCATCTGTATGTCCTCTTTTGAGGAATGTCTGTTTAGATTCTTTGCCCACTTTTTAATTGGTTTGTTTTCCTAGGGTTCAGTTGTATAAGTTTTTGTAAATTTTGGATATATTAACCACTTATCAGATGTATCATTGGTGAATATGTCCTCCCATTCAGTGAGTTGTCTTTTGATTTTAATAATGGTTTCCTTTGCTGTGCAAATAATTTTTTGTTTAATATAGTCCCATTTGTTAATTTTTTTCTTTTTTTTCTCTTGCCTGAGGTGATATATCAGAAAAATATTTCTATGAGAAATATCTGAGATTTTGCTGCTTGTGTTTTTTTTCTGGGATTTTTATGGTTTCAAGCCTGACATTTAAGTCTTTAATTCTTTATTTATTCTTGGGTATAGTGTAAGGTGGTCTAGTTTCCATTTTTTGCACATATCTAATTTTTCCAGCACCATTTATTGACTAGACTATCTTTATCCTAGCCTCCTTGGTTAAATAATAATTGACCAGAAAGGCATGGGTTTATTTCTGGGTTCTCTGTTCTGTTCCATTGATCTCTGTGTCTGTTAGTATGCCATCACCATGTAGTTTGATTATGATGGCCTTGTAATATAGTTTGGTATCAGGTAGCATGATGCCTCCTTGTTCTTACGATTGCTACGACTACTTAGCCCATTTTTTAATTGGAATTTTTTATGTTGAGTTGTAGGAGTTCATTATATATTTTGGATATTAACCTCTTAGTGACGAATTGCCAAAATACAGGGAACACATGCACTTTCGTAAGTAGTGGAGGGAATGTACACTACGGAGGCACCCCGCTGTTCAATTGTTGTTTGAGATGATTGGCCCATAAACACTGCAGTTTCGTCCATAGCAATCATGTTGTATTTAGAGAAGTCAGCATCATCAATAAAGGACTTGAATGCAAGTGCTTGCTTAATAACTTGAGTATCTTCCCATCTAAACAATGTTGTAGATCTTCTTAAAGACAGTTCACTTCGCTGAAGGAAATTATTCAGCCGTTGTTGTGATGCTTTGAAGTCTTCGGGGGCTATGTCAAACAGTGGTGCCATTGCAAGGGCAAATTCTTGAATCTGAACCCTATTCATAACCAAAGCCTCTGCTCTCCTGTCAACAACCCATTCACAGATCAGGTCTTCCAGCTCGGAAAATAATGGTTGCCGACCTGATCCACACTTGTGCTTTTTAGCATTTTCCTTGTCCACTTGTTCAATGAGGTTACCATACTCTGCTCGCCATTTTCGGACCAATCGGATACTCAACATCTTCTCTTTGCAGAAAGCAGTAAGATTTTGGCCCCAAGAGTCTTCCACGAATCCTTTCTTGTATTCCACAGAGTAGGTTTTTCTTTTTGCGCTCATTTCTAGGGGTTAAAAAAAAGGAATTGGGGTATCAAGATGGGGGAGGGGGTTCACTTAAAATGACACAGGGGGGATCAGAGGGGGGAATCAAAATGGCACAGGAGAATCAGAGGGGGGATTACCATTTTAGTAACCTCTTTTGATCCTCCTGTGTCATTTTAAGTGATCCCCTCCCCCCACCCGAGCCACTGAACACCTTCAGCAGACATCCCCCCTACCCCTTTATCAGACACTTACCCCCTGGGACTTGCCTGGGGACCGTCACTGGGCTTGCTGGGGCCTGGATCTGGGCTGGAGCAGGGCCTGCCACTGATTGAGAACCTTCAGTCATCATGAGGGCGGCCGCGAGCATCAGGTAGTGTTACCAGAGACAGACCAGCACTCACCACCTTCTCCGCATCCTCTAATCCTGTTCTTCTACACGCATTTGTGAAAGTCTCCTCCTCTCTCCTACCCCGTGCTCACCGCTCACTCCGACCTCAGCTCTGCCTCCACACAGCAGTGATGTCAGGACTCCGCGTAACGTCACTGGTTGCTAGACGCAAGTTGGGGCGGCCCTAGCGACCAGTTTACGATAAATTAATTTTCATTCTGAGACAGATCCTGGGGGTGGGGGCCTTATTTTTGGGAGGATGCCTTATATTTCACTCAGAAGGAAATCTGCAAGTAGGTCTTATTTTTGGAGGATATTTTATTTTCGGGGAAACACGGTAGCTCTGCACTCACTCCAGGCGGTGAGATTGGCACACACCCAACGGGAGCATGCAGAACCGATATACCTGCTGGATTAGTGTCCAGGCGCCGGGCCCCTTCTGTGCTCAGTGTGGCATCCGCGTCTTGCTGGTGCTAGTCCACGTGGGGTGGTTGGGTTTACACTACTGTTGCCCTGCAGGTGAACCCGAGATCCTGGGTAGAGCTCCACTCGCTATAAGTGAAGGGAAATGGAAGCTGGAACTCACTGTCCCCCTGGCCTGGAGAGCTCCCAGCTCCCACGAGCGTGCTCAGGGCCCAGCACTCTGAGGTTTCTTGGTTGCGGTGCAGAAGCTGCGCCTTTGGCCCTCAGTTGTTTCTCAGGAGGACTTGCTCTAGTGTACTGCACATCCCATGTGACCTTGGGAGGGCAGCTCAGTGCCCTCCTAGGCTGCCACTACCTTGGATCTGCCTCTAGAAAATTCATTTTGAAGGAAAGGCAAGGAGAAGTGAGGCCTGCCTGCTTTCAGGCTCAGGGATCACAATCCTTAAGATGCTCAGAGCTCCTTCGGACAAATGCCTCCCTCAAGTTGCAGCTGAGTAAAGCTGTGCTCTCCTGTACTCCTCCAGTCCCTCTGCCCCGTCCTTGTTCTGTGTTTTCAGCTCAGAGGATAACTTATGTGTCTCGTTTCTTTTTGTCTTTCCTCCCCCTTGCTCAGGTGAGGCGAAAGGCCTTGCAGGAAGAAATTGATCGTGAGTCAGGCAAAACGGAAGCATCTGGAACTCAGACATGGACAGTAAGTGCGATGCCAGCCCTTTTTGAGGCAGTCTGTCAGTGTCCTGAGCCCTCCCTTCCTGGCAACGTGAGGCACTGAGTGACAGATCTCCCACGCCCTGCTCAGAACTGTCCCACGTTCATTTCCTTCCTGACCCTGGGATACATGACTTCAGAGTTCTCGTTTTCTTGAGGAGCTGAGCCGAGTTCTTGCCTGTCCACAGACTCAGAAAGGAAGGGCTTCTTTTCCTAGGTCACTGCTCTGAGGGGCTCGCCTGCATTTTCGTGAAAGTGAGTGATTTCTGCATAGGTGGTGGGGTGCTCTGGACAGGAATCATGAGCCCTAAGTTCAGGGTCTGGCTTTAGCCTCTGACTTGGCTGTGTGGACCCTGTACTTCTGAGCCCCCACTCCCTTCTTGCTACAAACCTCTGTGAATATAAATGCATTTCACATTGCCACTTGCCCTATTCCTCCTCCTCCTTTCTCCTCTTAACTTGACAATAACCTTGGGCTGGTGGCTGGATGGGTGGCCAGGTGGTGAGGTGTGCCAGGCTATAAGCTACGAGTTAGGGGAGGAGTAAAGCTGGCGGGCAGCTTAGCAGGTGAAAGGTGCTCTCTGGTGCTGGCCAGATGTGAGATGGGATTCTAGTGGGGTCACTGATTAGGCTTGTGTCCTAGTTAAGCTGCTAGTGTATCAGTAAAGTGGAAGGAGCAGCATTCCTGATGCAGATGGATCAAGTGTCTGGTCCGGAACAAGCACTTAATCAGCTGGGTCCTCTCGGGGAAATGGTTCAGGGAAGGGAAAGCGCTTTGGGAATGAGGAAAATAACACCGCTTTTCTCCTAACACAGGGAACTCAGTTTGGCCAGTGGGATACTGCTGGTTTTGAAAATGAGGACCAGAAGCTGAAATTTCTCAAACTTATGGGCGGCTTTAAAAATCTGTCCCCTTCATTCGGCCGCACCCCTGACACAACCAGGAGGCCCAACATGGCGCTGGACAGGCTGGCGGCCCACAGCCTGCAGCAGAGCCTGCAGCGGGACTGCGCGCGGGCGCTGGCCCGGAAGCAAGGCGGGCGCGCTGGCCTTGGCTTCGCCACCGCAGACAAAGTCTTCCATATCGATGGGAGCGCTTCCAAGTCCACCAAGTTCGAAGACTAAACTCTGCTGTCTTGTCTCCTGAGTCAGAACTGCTTTGGGTGTTCAGTTATGCAGATGAGAGCCCCTGACCAGTGTCCCACTTGAGCTCCTGCGAAGGTTAAGGAAGACTCGATGTGCTGGGCGCCTGCGAGGGGGCAGCAGCTGGTTCAGGAGCTGAGAGAACTTGCGAGTGGCCAAAATCCACTATGTTCTGTGCTGGCCCTCCATCCCTGATTGAAGACATCACCATGTATAAATATCAGCTGTTTGTTGAAGACTTGGTATGTGCCAGACACATACTAACATGTTTTACTTGCATTGAGGTATTGAACTTTAATTATGCAATAGGTGCTGTTTTTATCCCCATCTTATAGATGAGGAAACTGAGGTTCAGGGATGAAGTAATAACATGTCCAGGGTCACCCAGCCACTATGTGCCAAGTGTACTTTTGTACCTCAAGCCCTACATTCACTGCTCTGGATGTCCTCCTCTGGGACTTTCCCAGAATACTGACTAGGAATAAAAAAACTGATTGAAGGAACAGAAGTCTATTACGTGTCTAAATCGCAAACAGGAAGTAGTTAGTGATAAGTAGAGTAACAAGCTCACTTTCCTTTTCCGTCTTGGAGTAGCTGCAGGCAAGGAAGCATCTGAATAGCCAACCAAGCAGGTGTGGCTGCCCCATGCACCATGGGGACCGGGTCCCAGCCTGAACTGCACAGCAGCCAGAGAGCTCTGGGTACGGAGACCCTGACCACCTTCCCATTCAGCTAGAATTTAGCTTCCCAAAGTACAAGTCCTGACGGGGCCATTTTCACATCATTTGGCTGAACGCCTCCTGCACATCCTACGTGGCCAGAAGACTCGCCTCCCACGGCAGCAAGTCCTCATAGAGGGGCTGGCCCAGCATCTCACTAGAGAACCGCTCTTTCCTCCCTGCTCCATCAGTGGCTCCTCAGACCGGTGGGAGATGGCCATAGCAATTCCAGGCAGCTCATCAAGAAACTAGAACATTCCAGAGGAAGATGGAAACCCTGCGGCCCCTGACATGGAGGAAGATTCTCCTCAGGCCAGCTAGCCAGCCAGGGGCAGTGAGGACGGATGCTGGTGGGAGAAACGGGCAGAGGTGAGGCAGGCCTACCAGGGCCTAGGCAAGAAGGCATTGGCCAGGAGCCCTACAACTCTGCCCAGGCTAGTCATATTAAGTGGTTAGAGCATTGGCCTGTGCATCAAAATATTACGGGTTTGACTTCAGGTCAAGGCCAGGTCTTGGATTTTAGGTTCCATCCCTGGCCCATTTGGGAAGCATGCAGAATGCAACCAATCTGTGTCTCAATCATACATCAGTGTTTCTCTGCCACTTCCCTCCCCTCCATCTATGTCCCTTCTACTCTCAAAAAAAAAAGAGCCTGGAAAATATATTCTTGGGCATAGAAATCAGCCTTGCTGGGCATGTATGTATGACCCACCTACCGTACTCAGATTTCCGAACTAATTCTTTTTGAAATGTACAGCCTCAACGTAGAAGTAACTTTTTAAGGCACATAATTTGTGATTCTGTGAATTTTTTCATTTAAATACTATCGTAGTAAAAGTATTGGAAATAGTTTTGTGAAATAAAGGCCACTTGGGGGTGTTTGGGCGATGCAACATGCTCCGAGTTTCTGTGTATTCTGTTCCATGAAGGCGTTCTTTGGTACCTGCTGTTCAGTGGATGCCATTTCTCATCAGAAGTCCTTGTGAGTGGAGATGCCACTATTGACCAGAAAATCTACAGGATGTTCTTGGTAGTGAAACTGTTAAAACATTAGTTTATATTAATTAATTTTTAAAATTAGCCTCTTTGCTGAGATTGGCTGTGAGTTATAGTCATGTTTCACAGATGAAGACCAATGTAATCTATGTCCCACACAATAATTTGGGTGCTTTTAATCTACAACCTGGATGCATTCTCTTCAACAGCCAATAATATTAATACTCTTATTGATTCAAAATAAAAGGTCAGGGGAAACTCATCAGTGGTAATACAATATCAGGCTCCCAGAGACACAGTAAAAAGCAGACAGAATCACATGCATGCCGAAGCCGGTTTGGCTCAGTGCAGGAGGCAGCTGATAGATGTTTCTAATTCTCTATCCCTCTCTCTTCCTCTCTGTAAAAAAAAAAAAAAAAAAAAAAGCGGCCAAAACCGGTTTGGCTCAGGGGATAGAGGTCTGAGGACTCAAGGGTCCCAGGTTTGATTCTGGTCAAGGGCATGTACATTGGTTGCGGGCACATCCCTGGTAGGGGGTGTGCAGGAGGCAGCTGGTCGATATATCTCTCTCATCGACGTTTCTAGCTCTCTATCCTTCTCCCTTCCTCTCTGTGAAAAATCAATAAAATATATTTAAAAAAAAATTGCATGTAGAATTGTAACTGCCCAGCAAACCAGGCAGCATATTTAGCAACATTCTCCTTCTGGATGAAGAGCATCAGAAACAATGAAATGAACAGCCACGAACATAACATTCCTTCAGGAGGTTTATTCCATTATTACAGAACATGTTTGAATCCAATAAGAGCTGCTTTTTGATAGAAAAATCTTTTTTGAGCCTGCCTTTTATAAATGGCCCAGGGTGCTGTAGGCAACATTTAATTACAAACTCAAATTAGGGAGAGCAAACAGTGGCTCTTTTAAGGTTCTTTTTCCAACTAAGAAAAAAAGACGCCCTACCCTCCAAAAAGAAAATGTTATTTGTATCTTGCCACTCAGTGGACAAGATGGGACCTAATGCTCTTACAATGCCACTTCATGTCAGAGTAACCTGGGTAGAGGCCAAAGTTTAAGCCAACTGTCTATGTAAAAAGAAAGTAAAAAGCAGGTATTTTCTGGATTTGGCACCAGAGCCCCTGGGGCAAAATCAGGTCCTTGTTTGCAAAGGAAGTCTGAGGGCCAGCTCAGACAGATGAGTCATATCTGGTTGTTCGCTTCGTTTCTTGATGTACTCCAGAGTTTTCACCTGGAAGGAAAAGCAAACACTCATTTCTTTTCTGTTGATAATTCCCTATTCTCAGAGCCAAGGCTGCACCAAACCAGCCATGCTGGGACCCTCTGCTTTTTTCTTAGCACAGGACAGGTCAAGTCTTTGGAGGACAAGGAGGAGAGGAAACCAACAATATCCTATCTAATAAAAGAGTAATATGCAAATTAATCATCACTCTGCTACACCCACAAGCCAATCAGGAGCAAGCATGCAAATTAACACAACCAAGATGGCTGTGGTTACAGAGCAGGAGGGAGGCTTGGGTTCCCCCAGCAATGGAGGAAGCCAAGTTTTCTGCCTGACCTTGCTGGCCTAGGCCTCCACTCAGTGCTACAAAGTTTCAATTATAGAAGGTAAATAAATTCCAACAGTAATGGTGGCAGCCACAGAGCTGAAAGAGCAGGAGGCTAGGGTTGTCCCAGGCAATGCAGGAAGCCAAGCTCCTGCAGCCCTGGCAGGCTTAGGCCTCCACTCAAGGCTACAAAGTTTCAATGATAGAAGATACATAAATCGCATCAGAAATGACTGCCAGCACAGCAAGCAGAAGGCTTGGCTCCGCCTCAGGCTACAAAGTTTCAATTGTAGAAGGTAAATATATTCCAGATCCCAGGGCCTCCGCTTGGGTAGCGGGAGGGGGGAGGGGAAGGGGAGGAGAGTAAGGGGTGATGGGGGTGGCCGGCCTTGCAAACCACCACAGGGCCCTTGCTCAGGCTGCCCCACACTCCAAGGGAACCGTCACCCTGATCCGGGAAACCCTTCAGGGCAAACCAGCTGGCCACCACCCATGCACCAGGCCTCTATCCTATCTAATAAAAGAATAATATGCAGATTGACCATCACTCCAACACACAAGATGGCTGCCCCCATGTGGTCACAGATCCTGCCCTCATGTGGACACAAGACAGCCGCAAGATGGCCACAAGATGGTCAGCAGGGGAGAGCAGTTGGCGGGGGCCAGGCCTTCAAGGGGGGGCAGTTGGGGGCAATCAAGCCTGCAGGGGGGGGCAGTTAGAGGTGACCAGGCTGGCAGGGGAGGGAAGTTGGGGGCAAACAGGCTGGCAGGGGGGCAGTTAGACTTCAATCATGGGAGTGGTTAGGGGATGATCAGGTTGCCAGGCAGAAGTGGTTAGGGGCAATCAGAAAGGCAGGCAAGTGAGCAGTTGGGAGTCATCAGTCCTGGATTGTGAGAGAGATCCCAGATTGGAGAGGGTGCAGGCTGGGCTGAGGGACACCCCTAATGCTAACCGCACCTTCCCCCCTACCCCCATGCACAAATTTCATGCGTGGGGCCTCTAGTCCTATATAATAAAAGCCCAGCGACCGAATCAGTGGAACAACCAGAGACCAGGACACCACAGCCCTTCACCCAGGCTGGTTCCACCCCCAAGGGAGTAGTTAAGGGAAGCAGGCAGGCAAGCAGAGGTGGTTAGGGGCGATCAGGCAGGCAGGCAAGCAGTTAGGAGCCAGTGGTTCCAGACTGCAAGAGGGCCATCCCCCACAAAGTTCCAGATTGTGAGAGGGTGCAGGCAGGCTGAGGGGCTCCAACCCCTGGGACCTCCACCCCCCTGCACAAATTTTGTGCACCAGGCCTCTTGTCTTTACATAAAACCTCTTGGGTTACCAACTGCCCTCAAATCCATTTGGATTTGAACAGGAATTACTGATCTTTTAATATGTGTAGTTTTTATTCAGAGAGAATAAACTTCTAACTATATTTTGCAGACCAAGGAAAGGACTCTGCAGCGATCTTGGGCCTAGCGCCTCTAGGAGGGGAAGCAGGGCTCTTGGATTCCCGGCCCTGTTGCTGTGCTGTGCCAGCTGTGCTCCAGCAAGGAGGCTCAGGTGGCTCACCACACACCCGGCCCCAGGAACGTGGGGGCCTCCTGAGTCTCACCATGGTCCTGGTGTCCGCATAGCCATGCCTCTGGGCCAGGTGCCACAGGTTGACAGAGAGTTGGTTGAGCCTGTTGTTGCGCAGGTCCCCATGGGCCAAGATG